GGGACTTGGGCATCGCCGCGGTCACCGCCGAGCACCCCCAGGTAGGGGCCGCCGCCGCCTCCCCCCCGCCCCGTTCGCGGCATCCTCCGGATCTTTGTTCAATCCGGAAATAAAACGCTACGTACTAACAGGACAGGCAGTTTTAGGCCCTGTATTTTTACAATTATTAATTTATTAATTATTTTTTAACCCCCCCCTTTTTTTTTTAGCATAATCAAATATCAATATGGAAAGTGTCGGACTTTGCTAAATGGACCTACAGGTGCTGGGCCTGGCAGGCAACTTTTGGGGTTCTGTGGGCTATTTCGCATCGTTCCCCCTCCACGTTTCTGCCCCCCAGACCCCTTCTTCCCCTCCGGCTGGCAGTTTCAGCAGCTACAGTGCATCCACTTCTTCACGGCGAAGCTGATGGCATCCGAGATGCTTTCCAGACTTTTTCTCGCTTCCAGTTAAAAGTGCATGTGCCACGTCATTCCAACGTGGCCGTGGCAGCGCCACAAAAAGGCTTTTTTTTTTTATTTTTAAAGTGTGATATTCTTGCTGTACACAAGACAGAAATGATTCGGAAAGTGTGCAGGAGCAGTATGTCACATTTTATTTGTGTTCTTTTAAAATTTCTTCATAAAAGGGTACAGTTTTTAGGCTGAGCATAACATTCATTATTTTCTCAGTATTTAACAGAAGATACCTGCCAGCACGCAACTAAAAGGCTAATGGGATATCGAGTCTCACGCTACACTGGTTGTATTTTCCAGGTGTTCACTGTTGAAGAAATGATGCCCCACGTCCAGCACATGAAAGGAGGTCACAGTAAAAACCTTTTTCTTAAAGACAAAAAGAAGAAAGGGTTCTGGCTGGTGACTGTTCTGCACAACAGGCAAATCAATTTAAATGATCTTGCTAAAAAACTGGGTGTTGGAAGCGGAAACCTGAGATTTGCTGATGAAAATGCCATGCTGGAAAAGCTAAAAGTGGGCCAGGGCTGTGCGACACCGCTAGCCCTCTTCTGTGACCAGGGGGACGTGCGGTTTGTGCTGGATGCGGGCTTTCTGGAAGGTGGCCACGAAATGGTCTATTTTCACCCAATGACAAATTCTGCAACCATGGGCTTAAGCCCCGACGACTTTTTGAAGTTTGTGAGATCAACAGGCCATGATCCCATCATCGTACATTTTGATGAAGACGTTAAGTAGATGAAGTTCACATTTCTATTGCTACGCATAGATTTTGTAGAGCAGAACTGGCCAAAGTCTCATTACAAATAAAATTTGAAAAAGAAACCAGGCTTACTCCTCCTTTATTTTTTCAATTGCGGAAGTTTATATTGTATAATCTGGTGAGAAAAAAAAAAAATACTGTCTTGGGGTTATTAAAAGTTCAACAGAATATTCTTAAAAAGACAAGACATGTTTGCGATCTACCACTAAGGAACCAGTCAGTAGAGGTGGTGGTATTTAAGTAATGTTACACTGTTTATTAATAAAATGGATAAAACCGGAAATTTGTGTGTGGTACTGGCCTTGAAGGTCTAAACTTAAACCAACATCATCAGGAAATAACAAACTATCTTCAAAGTTCTAAACCATTTGTCAATACACACAGGGCAGAGACGTCTGAATTGTGTACCTGTACCCATTTATCCCCTACTACACGTTGTTTTCTTTTTATTGTTTTTACCTAGAAAAAAACCCCAACTTCGCTACACTACAGAAAACGCATTTGATTGTCTACGTTTTTAGTCGCATTTTCACTGTCACAGTACCCTCAACCCTTGGGAAGTTATTACTACGTCCTCTGGTATGGCTTGGCTACTGGTTGCCCCCCGAGGACGGGCACGTGCTCGACGCGTTCCTAGCGCTTCTCCAGAAACGGCGGAATGCGAGGAGCCGCCTGACAGCCGGTGGCGCGGGGTGCGAGCCCTGGTACCACCCTCGCTCCTGGCAGAAGAGCTCCAAGGAACAACGTTACCACGCATTCCTGACCAGGTGTAGTAGGTCCTGGTGACTTGCGGGAGGAAAGTTACTACAACCCGGAACCGTATCAACTTTCCCGCACAATTTCTACGGGTTCAGGAACCCAGGGAGGATGTGCCTCACCTCGGCTGGGCCGCACCCTTAGCCAGCACCAACAGGAACGGAAGGCATGGTACGACAAACGGCTGTGCTGGAGCTCTTCCCTTCAGAAGGGGACCACACGTACAAACACCCACGTGTTTAAGAGCTGGAGGGAAGGCTGATTTGGCTTTCAACAGATGGTATATATTTAGTATAGAAAATTATCTACTATCACAAGAACAAGACCAGTACATTCTCAACATTAAAATTTCTAATCTAATTCTTGCTCCTCCTCTCTCCTGCCTAAATGAATAAAACCCCCTTCAAGCAGATTTTTGCGTTGAAGAGGGAAGCAGCAGAAACTCCATGAAGTCCAGGAAACGTACTGTGGCAACGAGTGCCCACACGAGCCCAAAGACGCGGGAGCAGTGAAAGCGAGGGACAGTCTGGAGATGATGGGGAGAAGGACTTCTGGAGACAGCCCAACGGAAATGTCACATACAAACCATGCCTGAAGGCAAGCAACAGCGTCAACACAGGTTGCGACAGAACGGACATAAAGGATACAGGAGCATGAAGAAAAAACGCACAAAAGGACTTGCGATCTTGGACGACTATTTGCTGCTGCAGCACGCTAAAGGATGCAACGCTAACAGCGATAAAGGGAAATGTTTCAAAGAAACACAAGGCAAAAATCAGCCGATTTGACTCCGTTTCCTTCTAGACGGCCAAGACACTTCTATGAGCTGAGAACACCACAAACATTTGTGTGTTGGATTGGGTTTTTCTTCCCCTGTGAGAAAGTGAAATCTTTAATTCTACAGAATGAACACCTACCATTAACTGAGTAAGAAAAAGCGTCTTCTGGGGCAAGGCAAGTTACTTCACAAACAGCCTTACCACGGTTTCCTTAATTTCTGAAGGATTTGGCACCTGTTCTCAGAGACGTGACCTTAAAAACGGAGTACTTCATGACACAGCAGTTTAAATTCTCCCCTCCGCCTTAGAAAGACACAAACCAACCCCACCTATCACGGCAGTCGTCTCAAATGGGAAAGTAGTGACCTAAAAACATTGAAGCTATAGGAAGAGTCACAAGAAAGACGTCCAGATCCATGTGATTTTATGTTTGTTTTTAAATAAAAGGCTGAAAGGAACATCTGGTACTTGGGAATATTGGGTTGATTAATGAAGTCTGGATTGACAGATGCGTTACTAACTTAGCTAGATATTAAGATACAGTCTTACGTGTCTTCAAAAGTAAAATTTCTTACCCCTGTGGCTGCCACTCACTCTCCCTTCCCTTTAAGGCTTCTTCTTTGTGGTACCCCAAAATCCTTTATCACTTAAAAAAAAAAAATTAAAATTGACTTGTCAAGGTTTCTAAATCCAGAAAGCTTTAAATGTGAAAAATTGTTTTAAAGACACGTGCACAATAGCAGTTTACTATGCTTCACGAATCTTAAAATCTGTACTACCCGAAACTTAACTACCTTTGTCCTCAGAGGAGATTGAGACTTGTCTCAGCAAAAACAGCAACCAAGCAAAATCAAAGCTTCAAATACTACATTTGGCAAATCTATAGTGATTTCTTTTTGTATTTACTTATGAAATTAGTGTCTTTTTTTTTAAATAATATCAAAATAGTGTATAGTTAAAAGCTACACAGGTCTACACAAATAACACGGAACAAACTACACGCTGTCCAGAAGAATTCTGCTACCGTTTTATGGGTTTCCTTCCCGAAGAAATACTCACTGACCACACCAACTGACCACGACGCCATTACCGAACACCAATATCCTTCCAGTAACATCACTTTCCAGAAAAAGTGTGTATAAATGTACACACAAAATAAGAATAAAAATTATTTGGTTTGGCATTTTAATATCATCATTAATAAATGTATACAATGGCAAACATTAAAAAAACCCAATATGTAAAGGAAATTACAGTTTTAAATAAGAGCTTTTAAAGTTTTGTTTCACACCTAGGTACATTCCTTTAAGGCAGTTTTATTAATATCAAAGCGTTATTTACATATACATTACCATCTAACTCTAAAAATCATACATGAGCTCCTTTGTTGAGGCTGCCTCATGTCTTGGAAAAAGTTTAGGAATAATATGTGTTTGGAATGTTACTAAACCCTCAGCAGACTATCAGACAAGTAAATCAAAATTAGACACTGTATAGTACTACAGCCGCTTTTGTCATCTTGAACTAGCAGCGACGGGTTTGGCAACTCTTGCGGTAAAAAGCTGTGTGTACTCAGGTTGTATGCTGTCCAACAGCTGCCGCGTTCTTCCCCAGGAGTTTGTGTTTCGGAAAACGTGAAGCGGCTCCCAAATAAAATTTACTTTTTTATTTTAATGGCACAGACTGGAAAGATTAAGAAAGGATTTTTAAATTATTTTCTTTTTCATCAGAGCACAGATAACCTCCTGACTGCTATTCTGCTCTGAAACTTCTTTGCAGAAGAAGGTGCTAGCAGAAGTAGATTCTGACCTCTTAGCTGCGAATGGATCTGCAGTGCTGCTTTTGGCTCGTTTACCAAACAGAACCCCAAAATCCCACCCTGGCCTCCGTACTGATGCAGACCAAGTGGGTCAAAACCCGCTTACAACGGCGCGGACGGGCGTTAGCCAGGACTCTGGCACACGGATCTGACCTGCGCTGGACTCTGACCTGGCAGGATGAATTCTGCCCCCAAACTCCTCCCGATTCTCTCATACGAGGAAACTTTGCTTCGGTTTTTGGAAGAGGAGGGTTCATTTCTAATACACGTTATCAGTTAAATAGTCATTGTAACGTTTGTGACTACACCCTGGCTGCGATTGCACAGATGAGTTAAGAAGGCGTAATAATAAGCAAAAACACAAGCGTAGAAGTTGTGACGGGTAATCTTGGACAACGGAATGAATACAGAAAAGAGCTGAGCTAAACGAAACGTCAGGAGATGCCCGCGCGATGAGAACGACGCAGCCACGCGTGCCCAGCCACGCTCCTGGCAGAGACATGTGTGCCACGCGGCCACGGCGATACGCCGCTCTTGCCTGATTCCCAGGGTCTCGGAGAATCTGGTATACCCAAACACGCACAACTGCTCGGACGCTGTGAATACAAACAGCATTTGGCACTACAGTTTAAACCTGTTAATTCAAGACACGCGTGGTCTTTTAAAAATAGCGACGCTACTAAATGGTTAGGGTTTAATAGTTTGAAACGCATCAGTCCTCTGTTGTCAAAGAGAGCTAGGAGAATCCAGTCACAATCAGACCCTGAAATGAGCTTGACAATGTCATAATTTACAATCAGCTATTTTCCTAATATTTATGCTATTTCAATCCTCTTTCCTAACAGCTATGCCTTTAGTAGGGGCTACTGGCATTCCAGATTTTTGCCTATGAAATTCTGTAAAGGCAACTTTTCCTCCAGTCACTACCTATATTGCAGGGCAGCAATGGCACAGAAACCAGGCTTGACATCAAAAACGTGAAATCCATGAAAATCTTGACACTAAGGGACCAGAAATGGATGCTAGTGTGAGCTGGCAATCAAAATAAACCAATGATTTTAACAAAATACCAGAAACGTCTTCAGAGGAAGGATGGAAATTCTATATGGTGAAGAGCTGCAAAATTTGTCCTATTTTCACTTGAGGAAAAAAAAAAAGTTTAAATTCTCTGTGAAAACAATCCCAGGCTGAACCAAGTATTTATAGTGTAAAACCAAAATATTCTGTTTAGATCTAGATCTCTTAGCACATTTTATCATGAAAAGTATTTCAGAAGGAAGTCACTTTAAGGAAAAAAAAAACCCACGAAAATTTCCCCTTCTAAAGCTTATTGAATTTTCCTTTTTCCCCTCTTTTTGACAAAATTTCAGTAAAATAAAAAAAAAAATGACTTGCCAGTGTGCCTTTGAATCTGTTGAACTGCATTCTCTCTCCAGTGAAAAATGACTCTGTTCCAACTGTCCCTGACAGCTTGAGACTTCGTTAACGATAAAAGCTGTAAGGCTCAAGAAAGAAGCCGTCATTAAGCTGAAGTCGCCGTGGCTCTGCCGCACAGCCGAGGCAGCGGGCTGGGCACTTTGCAGGCAGCCTGCAACCCCGGCCTTGCAAATCTCGCATGCTTACCTTTACTTAGGTGAGTGGAGATAGCTGTAGGCGAAAGTTAGGTACAAGCCTGTTGGAAGAGGGGACGCTAGGAGGTTACACCG